CTGCCCCCCCCGCCCCCGCCAGTGCAACACCGCTCTCCTCCCCACCCCCAACCCCAGCAACCCGTCTCTGGCTGAAATAAAGAGCTGGACCATCTGTCAGGAGGCGAAGATGGCCCCTGTCAGCTCCCGCCCGGCGCTGCAGCCCAGGGCCTTATGAGGCAATGTCTCTCAGAACACACTGGCCACGGGGGAGCGTCCCAGCTCGGCCTCCTCCTGGGGCCCCCGCGCGCACGGGGCAGGGGAGGAGGTGGGTGTTTTGGGGGTTTTTTTTCCCTCGTTTCGTTTTTAAAAAAAAGAGAGAGAGAGAGCAGGAGCCAGCCACCTGCCTCCTTTGGCACCGCTCCCCTGAAGGAATACTTTCGTAATGGGGATGAATGTCACAGTATAAAAATATGCGCTGGGCGCCGCGTGCCAGGAGGAGGCTAATAAGCTGTGGCGCGCTAGGCCCAGATACAGGAGGTGTGGGTCCGGGACGTGGAAATATTCAGACACGTGAGAGCTGCGAGGCGGTTTTTCGCTCGAGCCAAACGCAAATCGGCTGACCTCACTCTTCCAGATCGAATTTCGCCAACCTAATTAAGATAGCACTGCCGGACAGGTCAGATTTTAAAGAGGGGGGGAGGAGGCTGATTTTTAAACAGATGCACGCAACAAAATCCTGTGGACTTGGCTTGCGAGATTCTTTCCGTGCAGATCTGTGTCTCTCTCTCTCTCTTTTTTTTTTAAAGAAACGCAAGCATGTCATTTTCCATCGCAGAAAAAAAAAAAAGAGCCGTGAAAGAGTGAAGCACTGTGTGCTGGGGAGAAGTTTGTAAAAAAAAGCACCCCTTTATGGAAGCTGTCCCGGCGCAGGGTGCTTCCATTATGCAGGGAAGAGGAGAGAGGCAAGGCGAGAGAAGAACTCAGCCCCCTTATTCATCTAAAGTTACACTGGAAAGAATTTTTGACCCCAAAAGTCCAAATCTGGTTTAGATATGAGAGCAAAGAACATAGGCAGGTCTATCCACTTCATCAATCAGTCCATAGTGCATTCTCGTGCCACTAAAGTAAACAGCATTAAACTCTCCCAGTATGACATTTCTGCACTGCTGCCCATGGTTTACTTAAGCAATAAAATCTGGAAGCAGCTCCTGAATAATCTGACACAGCCTAAAGCCTGCTGTTCAGTTTTCACTGGGCTCTGTAAAGAAGCTGCGGCGGTAGTCTGGTTGTGGCGCTAGTTGCGCACAGCGGGGTTCTGAAACGCGAGGCTGTTCGCCCCAAGGGGACGCACGTGTACAACCGAGAACTACTTTACACAAAGAGTGGTGGGAGTCTGGGACAAGCGAGTTGTCAAAGCCGACGCCCCCCACCCTAAATAATTTGACACCAGCTGCCAAGCGAACTAGATGAGTCATATGGCCTCGCTGTTATATCGCAAAGCGGGCACAGACTATACGAGCCTGCAATCTTCCAGAACTGCCGTGGGAACGCAGGGAGCTGTCAAGACCCCCTTTGTGCCGTAACACAGTACCCACACATTAACACGACTAACACTGCGTGCCGACATAGCACTCGTCTTATCTGCAACCTTTTTCATGCTCTTATACGTCCACAGTGTTTGAGGTACAATCACAGGTTGGCCATTTCAGAGAGCTTGCAATCTGACCGTCTAACAAATATCTCCAAACACATTCCTTTCAACATGACTCTGAAGTCCGCACTTTGAAAGCCAGGGAGCGGTGAGGAACCGACAAGAGCTTCACGAAACCCTGCAGGGGACTGCTGCTCCGAACTCTCTGAAGTGCCTGTTCCTGGGGTTTTGAACCCGGGGCTCGTCTCAGGCGGCCTCCCCATTCCGGTGGAGGCATTGACTCGGCGCCGCCGCGCAGGGCCGGACTCCCTGGAGCCACTCAGACGCTCCACGGCAGAGGGAGACCGAGACGCAGAGAAGGGAAGAAACCGGGCTGGTGAAAAAGCAGAACGAGAAGCCTGCCTCAATACGAGTCTGGCCGAGGGGGAGTTTTTTCAGCTTCAGGCTGCCGCGCTTCCACATATAATTGTATTCTCGTTTCTCCACATTAATTAGCACGGCTGTTCCATTCTTCTTTTTTTTTTTTGCTCGACGAGAGGCCAGCGGGCCACTGCCACCACCTCACTCTCG